TGGAAGAGTGAGGGCGCTTCCCCCGGGGAGCTCCCTGGGCCCATGGGCCTCGGGAGCCAGTGGGTAAAACCCCCTCTTCCGTGACCCAGGTGGAGGGTGTGAGGGTACATCCAGCAGTTTCCCAGAGTCCCCGCCCGGCTTAGGCACGACCGGCCATGGTGGTAGCCAGCTCACTCACTCTTGGATTGTCTTTCCTTCCTTCCCTTTGTCACTGTTCCCTTGGATGTTCTTCCACTTCTGTTCCCTGGGATACCTTTCCAAAATAAACTGCCTGGCCTAAGCCCTGCGCTCCATCTTTCAGTTGGCCCAGCTAAGACCGGGCTTAAGATAAGCTCTCCACCCCAGACAGGTGGGGAGGGGGCAAATAAACACAAGAGTGGCCCAGCTCCTCCAGTACCTGGTGCTTGGAAAGAGGCTTTAAAACTACCAGCTAAGCCGAAACCGGTTTGGCTCAGTGGATAGAGCATCCGTCTGCGGACTGAAGGGTCCCAGGTTCGATTCCGGTCAAGAGCATGTACCTTGGTTGCGGGCACATCCCCAGTAGGGGGTGTGCAGAGGCAGCTAATCCATGTTTCTCTCTCATTGATGTTTCTGACTGTCTATCCCTCTCCCTTCCTCTCTGTCAAAAATCAATAAAATATGTTTTAAATAAATAAAACTACCAGCTAAATGGGTCTTAAAAAAAGAAGAGGAAAAGAAAGGAAGGGAGGGAGAGAGGGAGGGAGTTGGAGGAGGAGAACGAGGAGGAGAACGAGGAGGAGGAGGAAGAAGAAGGAGGAGGAGGAGGAGAGAAAGAAAGAAAGAAAGAGAGAGAGAGGGAGGGAGGGAGGGAGGGAGGGAGGGAGGGAGGGAGGGAGGGAGGGAGGAAATAATGATAAACTATGGAAGTCAGACTATAACTAACTGCTGTGGTGATGACAGACTCTAAATAACAAGAGGCTCCAGAGGAAAGGACCGAGTCCGAACCAGAAAGGAAAGGTGAGGAAGCCCTGAAAGACGATCGGGAGAGGAAGGTGGTCCTGGAAAAGGAAATGAACCTCATGCATTGAAGACCTGGAGACTGGCCACCTGGAAGCGAGGAGAGGTGGGACAAAGCTCCCTGCGGTGAGGAAGGGGCTCCACAGGGCAGGGAGGGGAGATTTTACACGGGTCCCTGAAGACTTGTGAGCAGAAGGGTGAGCCCATTTCCCCACGTAACCACATGAAACTTTCTGCATGACCCCTGGCAACCAAACACTCAGGCTTCCAACCGGGACTGGCTTCCTTAGTCACTTTCTTACCTTCCTATAATGATTACCAATTGGCCAGGCGCACTTCACACATGAATTTATTTAATCCGCAAAACAACCCCATGAGGTAGGTTCGATTACTGGCCCCATTTCACAGATGGAGAAACTGAGGCAGACAGAAGTTACAGAGCTGGGTGACAGAGTTACGATTCTGCCTGTCTGAATCCTCTACCCCACAATCAATGAAGTTGCCACATTGTACATAATCCTCCATGATTCCTTTCCCAAAGTTTCCTATCTGTTGTGTCCTTAACATGTTCAGAACCTGTAACCACATGTAGTTCATGCATTTCCTAGACATTCATTGAGCTCCTGGTATTTATACCAGATGCTGGGCAGGCAACTGAGGACATGAAGATGCATAGTCCCCACTCTCCGGGAAGGTCACATCACAGATCTTGCAAGGTGAACCTACAGGTTGAGGTAGCAAAGTGGATCTGGAATGAAACCAAATTAGCAGATTAAAAAAAAAATCTCATTCATCCCAGAAGAACTATTACTGAGCACCTTCTTCTTCTTTTTTTTTTTTTTTTTAATATATTTTATTGATTTTTCACAGGGAGGAAGAGAGAGGGATAGAGAGCTAGAAACATTGATGAGAGAGAATCATCGATCAGCTGCCTCTTGGACACCCGCCACTGGGGATGTGCCTGCAACCAAGGCACATGCCCTTGACCGGAATCGAACCTGGGACCCTTCAGTCCGCAGGCCGAAGCTCTATCCACTGAGCCAAACAGGTTTCGGCACTGAGCACCTTCTTTATGCTAAGCCCTACAAGGTGAGGAGAAAGAAAGGACAGAGCCTGGCCAATGTGGCTCAGTGGTCGAGCAGCAACCCATGAACCAGGACATGGTTCCATTCCCAGTTGTGGACTCGGTCCCCAGTAGGGAACGTACAGGAGGCAGCCAATGAATGATTCTCTCTCATCATTGATGTTTCTGACTCTCTCCCTCTCCCTTTCTCTCTCTCTGAAATCAATAAAAACATTAAAAAGAAGAAGAAGAAGGGACAGTCTGGCCGTGAGCGCTTCCCATCTTCAGGGAAAAGGATTGCAAGTTCCAGGAGACAGTAGCACTGCAAACTGTAATGCAAATAATTAGGTTAGCTCAGGGAGAGTGAAGCAAAGTTCTAGAACGTTTAGAGCAGGATTTGTCAGGCCCAACTCCCTCAAACAACATTGCGTAAATTGAGGTCCCGAGAGGATACGTAGCTTATCAATAATGGTGATTTGGTGGCAAAAAAATAAAAATAAAAATAAATAATAAATAAAAAAAGAAGAAGAATGGAAGGACAGGGATACTAAAATGAGTTATCATACCATACTCACACCCAAAAACGGTGAAGCACAGCAAAGGTAGATACATAATAAAAGTTTATCAATCCAGTTTTCCTCTAACACCAATGTACATCACATTACTTTAAATAGCTTTCCATGACTGACTACATGTACATAAAATCAAGATCCTGTTTACACATGTGATTTGCCTTGTTTGGAATGTTGGGCTCCTTTATTTCTATCCATCTTTATCTATGACCTTTTTAAAAGTATCCAATGTAAGGATTACTTTTTTAAAATTATTTTTTGGTCTTTTCTCTACAACAATCCTTGTGGGTTAAAGTTTCTGGTGTGTTTGGCACTGTGGCATTTTGCTCTGTATAATTCTTACAGCCATGTCTACATGAGTTGGCACATAGTAGGTGCTCAAGAAACCTTGCTTGGTTCATGATGAAGTGTTAAGTAACTACCATAGGGAAAGATCTCACATTATCATGCACTGTGCTTTAGTAAAACTTGAAATCCTCTTCCTCTTCTTCCCTGAGACAGAAAACGAAATATACTGATTCATTGGCCTTGTAAATAAGCCCAGTCTTCCCCCAAGGAATGAATGAAATCATCATCGGACAAGATGCTTCTAGAACAGTGTTTGGCACACCGTAAGCTCCCAATGATTATTTGTAGAAGTGAATTTAAATCGTCAGCTTTTTCACACTTGCCCTACACTATATGTACGATGAGGTCAAGATCACCAATGAAAAACTTGTAAAAATAAATAAAATAAAATAAATAAAAATAAAAAATTGAAGACCAACCCAGACCAAACACAGAAAAGGTAGTTTTACCCAGTTGACATGTTGTGCTCCTAAAAGACTTCTTTAGGCCACTTTTTTCTTCCTGGAGTTCAAAACCTGTCAGTTGCTTAAGTGAAGACCATCCTTCTGCACCCTTAGGAGCTATGAGTGGGAACCTGCCCGGCACTGGACACAAAATCTGAAATTTTCAAATACTTTTGTGGATAACAGAATCTAATGCCGCTGCTGACAATCACTTTAAGTAGTGTGATCACAATATGCTAAGTATTAAACACAACCATTTCATTCCACTTTGCAAAGACCTTTTCGAAAGAGGAAAAAAAATTAAGTAATTAACAAACAAGTGAGACTTTTATCCCCCAAATGATCTGGAATTAGCCTAAAAGGAAAACTAAACGTCACCAAGAGGATATGAACCCTGGTGCTGCACCGTACACCAAGAAAGTGTTTTGAAATCAGCCATGTAACCCACAAGATACTTTGGAAAATGTGCCGCTTCTCGTTGGGCTGTTGTCTTTTCTCCGACAACACGCTACTTAACATGAATAAAATGTGTTAGGCTCTTGTGAAACCGGCCTCAGCCCCTCCGGTCCAGGCACCTCCCAGTGGCCCTGGGATCCGCAGGGTGACACATGAGATCTAAAGTGGGTGGATAAAAATAACCCGGTCCTCAGAGGGACATGATAAACGCCAGACAGCTGAGTCACTTCGAAGCCCATTTTGACTCCTGAAAGGGGCATTCTCCCTCCTTTCCCTTGTCACACATACACACACACACACACACACACACACACACACACACACACAACCTGGTAGAAAACCATCAGTGTCCTGGGTGGAAGGCAGGCATCCATCCGTCTTGACTTCCTTCCCCTCCAGTCTCTGAGGTCACGACTCCAGATTGAACTTTCAATAATGTATACGAGTGCATTTCAGTCCAAGAGACTCACTTCAAGGGGGGGAGGGGGAGAGGTTTAAGGAAAACCATCCTAATCCCGGAGATTTCCCTATTTCAGAGGTTTCCTCTGACATTCTTAGGGAAAGAAAGGGAGAGGGGAGAAATGGAAAGTGGAGGCAGCAAAGCTCAACGGGGAAGCTGGGGTTGCCCAGGAGCGGGAATCCCTGGGCACAGCACACGGTCCAGAGAGAGGCGGTGGGTGTCCGAGGGAATCCACCCGTCCACCCACGCGCCCTGCGCGCTCGCCTCCGCCTCCGGGAGGACGCAAACCCTCTGCACCGCGCACTTCGCAACCGGAGCCTCTTCCCCGCGATCTCCCAAGCGGTGGCGGAGCCGGGGGCCAGGCTGCTGGGACCTGAGGCCCTGCCAGCCTGGGAAGGCTGTCGGAGCAGAACCCCCTGGCGACCCAACCTTGGGCTGCAGGCAGCGCCCCGTCCCCCCAGCAGGCGCTCCCGGAGCGCTCTGCCCAACTGCAAGGCAGCAGCACCCCGGAGCCAACTCCGCCGCCCGGAGGAGGAGATCCCCGGCGGCCCCTGCGCATCTTCCCCGCCCGCTTCTTCACGTGCCTGCTGCCCGGGTCCCCGGCTCCGCAGCCGCCCAGGCCGCCGCCGGCCCCGCGCCCTCCCCCCGCGGCGCCGGGAGCGCAGCGCAGCCCCACTCACCGGCGAGTCGTAGGAGAAGGCGCACTCGGTCTTGTAGACGCGGTCCCCGGACCGGGGCACGCGGATCGTGGGCATGTGGGGCACCAGCAGCTCGCCGATGTCCCCTGCAGCCATCTTCCCCCTGCCGCTGCCGCCCGGCACGCCGAACAGGGCGCCCCGGCGCTGCATGGCCGCGGCGCGCAGGGCCGAGCGGAGCGGAGAGCGTCTGCCCGCGGCGGCGGCGGCGGCGGCGGGGCGGGCTGCGCGGCGATCGGAGCGGAGCTGCGGCGGGAGAGCGGGCCGCGGGGCGGGCGCGGCAGCGGGACCCTGGGGCCAGCGGGCGGGGCCGGGGGGGGGACGCTGCTATTTTTAATCCAATGGCGAATCGCGGGCCCCGCTGCAGCGTCGGGCGGGGCGCCGGGGAGCGCCAGCCGCAGCGCGCGGGGAGGGGGCGCTGGCGAGGGGCCCTGGGCCGGGCGCGCTCCGCGGCGGGCGCGGGGCGGAGGGCGAGCCTTCGGGCGTCGGTCGGGCGGTCGGGCGGTCGCTTGGTCCTCGCTCATCGTGTGAAGCTCATCAGGACCCAGGGGAGCTAGGCTCTGTGTTTGCCCTCTTACAGAGTTTTCTGAACATCAAGATTTCATTGGGAGGGCATTGTAGTTTTCTCTTTGTACCGCCCTTGCGTGATTCGAGGTCTCCCAGTCCAGCAATCAATTGTCTGATTTGGGGATCTTCCATGAAGATAGATAGATATAGATAGATATATGATAGATAGATGATTGATAGATAGATAGATAGATACATATTATAGATGATAGATTCCTATCTTGTTCTCCAGTTCCTCAAAATAAATAATGACTGGGGTTGGTCTGAAGGAAAGGGGAGTGGGGAAATAATTTGCAAACAGAGAATGCCTCACAGCATACTCGATTATTTAAAAATAATAATAATAAATAAATAAATAAACTCTTTTTTTAATATATATGTTATTGATTTTTTACAGAGAGAAAGGGAGAGAGAGAGCTAAAAACGTTGATGAGAGAGAAACATCGACCAGCTGCCTCTTGCACACTCCCTACCTAAGATGTGCCCACAACCAATGTACATACCCTTGACCGGAATCGAACCTGGGACCTTTCAGTCCGCAGACCGACGCTCTACCACTGAGCCAAACCGGTTTTGGCTAAATAAACTCTTAAAACAGGGGTTCAATTCCATTGCTGTTCCCTTACCATACGGACAATAAAGGGCAGGCTACCCGGCAATTCCTGCCAGTTCTTGAAATGCAGAAATAGTGGATCAAAACGCCTCTCCCAGATCATATTTTCCTTCCGTTATTTTTCTATAATTCTTCCTGATTTTGCCGATATGTTGGTTCTGCTAAGGAGGCAGGAAAGGTACCTGGAAATTGAGGTGAAGTGGACTGACAAGCCCTCTCTTGCTCTTGTAAATTCCCATTCCCTCAAGCAAGGCTCAAGCATACAACACACTGCCTGATGGAAATGGGGAAGGAAAAGAGGCAGAAAGCAAGATATTAAACACTCTTCCTACCCCCATATTCGGCAGACACTGTGAAGGAGTTTTTGCTTTTTACTTATTCTCCCTTGATTATCACCCTCTAGGAGTATCTGTGTCTGTTTCAGAATCTTATCCAATTATAGGGAAAAACTTGATTCAAACCCATTCCAAACTTAAAAATTCAAATATTTTTTTAATTAAATGCAAATTAAATGAAGACACCATTGTTTAGCCGTTAGCCTAACAGAGATATATTGAGTCGGCCTGGATTTGGGAAATAGACCATCCTAAATATTGTTGGAGGGAATAAAAATGGTAAACCTCTTTCAAAGGAAATTAACAACACCAACATAATTGTATATGCCTATAAAATTGTACTGTCTTTTTCCAGCAATTCCTCATCTGGACATTTATGCCACCGATAAATGCATGCTGTGTAAGAATCATCATTGGAGCATTACTTATAGTGCAAAAGACTGAGAACAGCCTAAAGACCCATCTACGGGAAATGCTTACAATACAATACCATTGAAAAGAATGAAGAGCTGCGTGTGTGCTGATGTGGAATAATCTCCAAATAATGTTACTAGAGGGGAAAAGCCAAGTGCAAATCAATGAGTAAAAACAAGGGAAGCATGCAAGACAAGCATACATACAAAATTAACGAAGTTAAGCTCTATAGGGAGGAACACAATGCCTGAGGTTAAGAGGAGAACTTATTACCACTTTTTATCTTTCTGTGTTATTTATATTTTTGTTATGTGCAAGTATTGATTTTAAAAGTAATTAAAACTCAATTGTAAAAACACTCTTTCAATAACCAGTAATAGTAATATTAATCAAAATTGACGATGCTTACTGCATTCCTATAAAAATGCACCCAACTTTTTTTGTGTAATGGCACATCAAAAATGATAATGTTTTACAGCCCTCAGAAGCCACCAGTTAGGGATGCTTCTCACAATCTAAGGCTACTAGTCCGGGAGTCGGTCACAGAGGGTCCCCCCACAGCCTTCCAAGAACCCAAGAGACCTTGTCACACTTGAATTCCCTACTCTGCACACCAGAATGCCAATAGCGCACCAGATGGAAAGTTCTCATCAAGATGGGAAAATGGAAACCACCTAAAAACATGGAGAAATGTTAAATAGTGTATACGTGTATTTACTCAAAGATGTTTAAATGATGTTTACAATGATGGCTTTAATGTATTCTAGTATGTTAGCATAATATATTTACAATGCTTATACAATATTATTGTTACTGAGTAAAAATAAACGTGTGTTTTGACAAGATTGGAAAGATGCAAACTTTAATAGCTATGCTTAAATTTCATTATAGGATTTTTTTAAAAATATATATTTTATTGATTTTGTACAGAGAGAAAGGGAGAGAGATACAGAGTTAGAAACATCATTGAGAGTCATTGATTAGCTTCCTCTTGCACACCCCCTACTGGGGATATGCCCGCAACCAAGGTACATGCATTGACCTGAATCGAACCCGAGTCCCTTCAGTCCCCAAGCCGACGCTCTATGAGCCAAACCGGTTTTGGCTCATTATAGGAGTTTTGTATCTGCTTTCAAAATGTCTTCAATAGTGTTATATTTGTTTCATAGTATAAAAATGTATCAAGATAAAAAAAAAAGTTAAGAGAAACTTCACTGGATTCAGACAATGTCTTAACCTGGCTTTTTCAGGATAAAAAAAAAAAATCTAGAACTATTTAACTTAATTTTGCAAATGCTACAGGTGAACTTATAATGACTCTTACTGTGGGGGCTGGTTTCTATGTGTTGATCTCTATCTGAGAGCAGGAATGAAGTGATGCTGGTCAAACAGTTTTAACTTCCAACATAAATTCAAAGTCTTGCCCTAACCGGTTTGGCTCAGTGGATAGACCGTTGGCCTGAGGACTGAAGGATCCCAGGTCGGATTCCGGTCAAGGGCATGTACCTTGGTTCCAGGCACATGCCCAGTAGGGGGTGTGCAGGAGGCAACTGATCGATGTTTCTCTCTCATCGATGTTTCTAACTCTCTGTAAAAAAAAAAAAAAATAATAATAATAATAATAATAATAATAATAATAATATATATTTAAAAATAAATTCAAAGTCTTACCAAAGAGCCGAGGAACTGACTTCTGTCACACCAAGGTGTTCAGGCCATCACAGCACTCTACTGATAAAAAGCCTCCTCCCATGATGCTCCACGGAGCCTGCCAGAACTCCTTAGCCTGACATTCAAGGACCTCTCCCCTCCAGCAATCCTTCCAGACTGTCCTCTCACTCCTTCACTTACGGTGAGCTCACCTTATTGTCCCCCAAGGATAAATGTACTTGTCTCCTAGCCTTAGCTGAAAGCTCTCCCCTCTGATTTCCATCTTCTCAAGACTTAGTAATTTTTCCATGGGGCCTCTTCTGACTGCTCCAACCCTGAGGGGCTGGTCTTTTTTAAATGACAGCCCCTCTTGCCTGTATCCATCATTGGCCACTGCCTTATAACATCTTTTGTACTGTTATTTAAATAACCTTGATTCTATAGCTTGCCCCTCTCTACAGAGAGCAAATCCTTTGAAAGAAGTTATATTTTCAGCATCCTTGCACATGTGGAAGCTCGGTCTTTATGGCATGTTGCCTGCCTGAAAGGGTACCGCTCTGTTTATTTTAGGGACCCAGTAAGTACCTGTAGAGAGCTGTCTGGGAAGGCACTGGACATTCTTTAAATTCTTATCAGCTGGAGCCCGAGGGCACTGGCAGAATCCAGTTTTCAGTACCGATTTCTTATCTTTATCCATGTGCTTGGAATGAGGAACAAATAGGACCTTGACTTACCGAGATCTTGATGTGCTAAATCTTGTACCAAAAAATGAGGAGCTTACCCAGATCTTGATGAATAGGATCTGGGCACACCCGAAACTCCTAGCACCCAGCTTTATGAATCTATTTCTGCCTCTTGTCTCTTTCTTTCTCTAATTTCTTTTTTTAAAATATATTTTATTGATTCTTTACAGAGAGGAAGAGAGAGGGGTAGAGTTAGAAACATCCATGAGAGAGAGAGAGAGACATCAATCGGCTGCCTCTTGCACATCCCCTACTGAGGATGTGCCCGCAACCAATGTACATGCCCCTGATCAGAATCGAATCTGGGACCTTTCAGTTCGCAGGCCAACGCTCTATCCATTGAGCCAAACTGGTTTGGGCTCTTACTCTAATTTCTTAATCCCCAGCTCCTCCACTCCGGAACCTGTCGTTTTCCGTGCGGGACGCGGAAAACAGAGAAAATGCCCACCGCAGTACCTACCAGATGAATGGTTCACGTTGGTGACATTGTAATAGATATCTTTTGCAGCTGGCTGTGTGCCTTTTAGGTAAAAATTATTGCTGTGCAAATGTTGTTCCCAGAACTGACAGAGGTTACATTAAAACATGACATGAATTTTAGTTACTATGACTAATGCCATGAAAAGGATAATTGGGGAAGTCTACAGAGAAAAGAGACACTTTAATTATTTCAATTAGCAGAACAGCTCTTGACCTCAGATGTGCTAAAAAAATGTTCAGTGATCCAGTGAATCTATATATGGTGACAGCTTACTATAAAGCATAATCATAACATTTTCTAAACTCACAGATAGCCTCTGCAAGAAACACTGATTATTAAATGTGAACCAGTAGGTCACAGGCTAAGAAGTGTAAGGCATTTTCTGTTTGAGGAACTTGTATATAATCATTGAAAGCCATGTCATATAAAAATATTTATTGACACGGGAAAATGATCACT